ATAGAAGAAAATATCAGAAATAAAACAGGGAAACTGAATTTTAAATAAGCATCATTGTTTGTTGTATTGACAAAGCCTGACAACAGGTAAGGAATTGCTGCTTTATCTTTTACCTTATATTACCTCTATTTTTGCATTATGTAGTACATACAGGATCAGTCATACTTACAAAAACTGATAATCTGCAATAAAATGCATGAAGCAAATAGATTATTTATCGTTTAAGACTGAAGTGAAATCTCTCAGGCAGGGACTCCATTGCAGAAAAGGCCATTACAGGTTCTACATTTTTAGAGATATGGCTATAAGTTAGCTGGCAACTTGTTTCCAAAAAATAGTATTTTCTGAGCTGAATACACCCTAAAATTCCTGAGACTAAGTTCCATAATCATGAATTCTTTAAATAGTACCATATAACTAGTCTCTACTGCTTAGTATAAGTTGGCAACCTGAACAAGCCTTCTGGGAGAATAATGATTTCATATAAAAAGCAAAAAAAATTATCTTTGTAAATTATGAGCAATAGTACACTCTCAGATAAAAACCATAAATCTCTGTTCTAATATAGACTTATGGGTACTCATTATATCTCCCTATTACCAGAATGTTTGAGCACCTCAAACACAATTGAATTTATCTTCAAAAACACATTTGAGTAGGTAAATATTCTTCTTACTCTATGGATGGGACACAGGAACAAAAATATTAGGTTACTTGCCTATAATCACACATGACAACTATAGCAAAACCAAAAATTGAATGTAGGTCTCCAACTTCAACCTCAATTTCTTTACAACAGACAACATGACATTTTCCATCCTACTCATAAAAAAATAAACTAGCCATTTAAGAACCAGCCAGTCTTGGAGTTGAATTTTGCTCTACACACCCTCCACCCATTCTTTAATTATTGCTTTCTTTCATAAACTTTTATTTCCAATTTCATTTAAAAATATATCAGGAAGTTAAGCATTAGGAACCAAGACATGGGTCTTCATGAGACACAGGTACCAATTGATATACATAGCTGAAACTGAACTTATTCATAAACAATTTCCTTCTAAGATTTTGGCAGAAGGCTTTGGCTAATGAAATATTAGAAAACAAACTTAAAAGACTGTAGGCCATCTCTACATAGGGAATCTGAAGAAAAATAAAAGGTACATCAATTAAAGGTGTAAAATCGATGCACATCAGGTAAAGTATATTAATTACCCATATGGATAAAGTGGCCTTAGATCTTTGTATTTAATCCTCTTTGGAAGGTTAGTGATAGGGTAGGATTAAGCTACAGTGATCTAAAGCCCCTTTGTTCCTAAATGGAAGCATCAACAAATTCCTGCATGCTTTAAATTATACAGATTAACTTCACCCCTTTACTTTTACCTTAAGTTTTACTGAGAATCCCCATGAAGATAAATTTATGCTGCAGATTTAAAATACATATGGTTGGTCAATAATTTAATTTGATGAACGTAGGCTGTATGTTACATGCAGCCAATGAAAGAGCACATCTGATGTTGCTGGGAGAGAGGGGAGGGAGTTTCACTTTGAGACACAAATCATTTAGTATTATTTAACCTGAGTCAGAGCAGTAATACCCCTGATAAAAATTCAGTGATGACAGTGGAGCAAGCTTCGTAGTATATACTGATCTGCTTAGAAAACTAATACAACCAAGTAGCAGACATCTACTTTCATGGAAATTGAAAATATACGCACATTCATAAGCTATCAAGCCTGTACATCTAATTAAAGCCTCTCAATTTCACTTCCTTGAATTACTGACAATTTTTTATTCTGCAAAGTTTAGAGGAAAATCAGATTTAGGAACTGTGATTAGATCCAGTCTGCCAAGTCTTCATCAGGATACCAGGATGAATAAAGCCCACTTTTTTTTAAAATTCAATTATTAAATGAAACAGGTCTTATGACCCTATGTAAAGAACCTCTTTAAAAAAATAATCAAACACCTGTTAGTCTGTATGTATATTTTGGCAACAAATCACACAGATCATTCACTATTTTATCATTTACCACAAATGGCACTAAAGGAGTGTTTTCTAGATTCAAGATTTAGTCCAGAGGGAAACATTAAGACCATCTACTCCAACATCTGGAAAACAGCCTATCAACCATACTTGGTATGTTGTTCAGATCTTAGAAAGGCGAAGCTTTTTAATTTCATTACCAATTTATCCAAATTTTACCTCTGTTTGTTCACCCACCATTCCAAGCCTGACTTACCAAACTGCTTGAAACTAAAAGGGAAATGGGGCCTTTCCCCTCATACAAGTTCCTGTCTGAAAGAAAGGATGTCTCGTTCATTTAATGCTGTCCCTATGCTTAGAAGCTGCTGTATGACAACTTGCACATTATCCCTAACGACCTGGCAAACACTGTGGAAATATTTAGTCCTTAAAAATGTAAGTCTGAAGCAGCTATTTTCAACAGGATAAAAAAAGAAATTATATTTAAAGCATTTCAGCTATACTTATGCCCCCCTCTTCTTTTTTTCTTTGGAAGAAAGATAAAAGTCCTTTTCTAAGTCACTGGAAAGACTACAATGTAAACATACAGACAACTGTTTTGCTTAGCGCTATTTCGCTATGATGCTCATTTTACATTGAAACATGATTCCACTTAGCGCTCAACGAGTTTTGTTATAACACTCATGGGCATCATACAGCTGGCAGCAAAAAAAAATGGGTTTCATTTAATGCTATTCTGCTTAATGCTCGTTTTTTTGGGAACCGATTAAGAGCGCCAAGTGGGTGCCTGTACTTAATGAAGACCCATATAACTCCCTTCTAGTTTGGCTTGGAAGTATTTTGTTTTTCAGGGAATTCAGTTCTTCCACCATATCCTATACCTATTATCTAGGTTAGATTACGCTGGACATTTTAGTAAGGCTAAGTGCAAGCAGTACAGCAACGTGATCTTACTGTATTTCTATAATGGCCATTAGTACCATTAATAAAGTATCTTGCATCAAAAGCATTAAGCTATCAGATATTCTAGCCTCAGTTAGTCTAGAAAATTATAAGCATTTAAGTTTCTCTTACTTTCAGCTTATCAAAATATATTATTTGCCTTAATAGTATCTAAACCTCAGATAATTAAATACATCAATCCACTCTCTAATCCAGTCATAAGGACCCATTAATTGCTTTGATCTCGTATATTGCTTTGACATTTTTGTTCTGGTTAATACATAGTAACTTTTAGTAAGTGATAATCAACATTCACATCTTGTTCAGAAATCTAGAAACAATTTAACAATGCTTATGGTTAAAGCTGGAGTAGCAAAAAAAGCCACAAAAGCAATGTTACTCAACAGTTCCTGTACAATTTGAAGTGTTGTGTTGAAAGAATAAACTGTAGCTCAAGAGACATTACACTATTTAAAAAAAATAGACTCATTTTCAAGCAAGAAAGTTAATATAGCTTCCAAAAATTAAATTTGAAGAAGGAAATGAAACCAGATAGAGAAACCAACATACTTCATTATGATTTCCTTATATGCAGAGTTGCAGAGTTGGAAACTATTAACATTTTAAACATTTTGAAAAGCTGAATTTTTTAGTTTCTAATTACAACCTGCACAAGATATTAAGGTGTGTATAATAATTACATTCTTCTGTGTGTATTGTATAAACCTCTTCCCCTTCACAGCTTCAATTGTTTTTGTAAAAAAACCAGAATGGGTAATAAATAAGTTTACAGTGAGTGAGAAATAGTATTAAAGGAACAATTCTAGAGAGGTTAAAGCATGAACCTTACAGGGGAAAGAGGCAGATTAATTGATCAGGGTTTTCAAAAAGAAAGAAATTAGTCAGTTAGAGCAAGAGAAAAGCTTGAGTATCATCACCATTGGCTAAAGTTGCCTAATATCTTGTCACCACTTTGTTTCATTCTGTAAGCCAGTGGTCTCCAAAGGGGGGGGGGGTGTGCACCCCAGGGGGTGCGGGAAGAAAATATTAGAACTTCTATTTATATTTATATAAATATACCTATATTAGGGGTGCATGCTCAAAAATATTTTTACTGATAGGGGTGCGCAATCAAAAAAGTTTGGAGACCACTGCTTTAAACAACAGACTGCAGTGCAGTGCACCACAGATTGTGGTCATCACTACTATTATGATAGGCTTGAAAATAAACTGAAAGATAAGGGAAGTATGAGCATGCTATATGCTTCCAGCAACCAAGCTACGTGGGGAAGCTGGCAAAAAAAAATTGTAGTGAATTACAGCTTGCTGCCCTCCTGAAATCATTCTGACATTTTTAAAATATTTAAAAAATTTTCTGTGATCTAGTATGCAAAGTGAGCATTCCCAAACAGCAGCCTGATCACCATGTGCATGTAACAAATACAGGTTTCCCTTGCTTTATGCAGGTTCTGTATGTCCAAATTTGCTCTTACACGATGACCCTTTTTATACCAAAAATTCGTTATATGCGAGGTAAATTCACTTATGCGATTGGCGCGGTGGAAGCCCACTGTCAGCTGCTTTGTGCACTGCATTATGGGAGTGATGTGCACAAAAATATAATCTCCTGTGTATTTCTGTAGTTGCATTATCATTATGGTAACATTCATCACCACCCTGTGGTTGTGTGGACTGTCTACTGTTGGCAAGTACCAAAACTGTCTTGTAAATGGATCTGGGGGTCAGTACAGTCACGGTCTTGGAACATATCCCTATTTGTTACATTGCAAAGTGGGTTCCCTGTATGCGAATTCAAGTTGTGTGCTGTTTTCCGGGAATGCATGTACAGCATAAAGCGAGGGAAACCTGTACCTGTTTCATTCTCTGACTTTGCCATCTTGTTGTTTTGCAACTAACTTTTAAATGCTTTCAGATACAGTGCTTTCCAAGGGCTGTGTAAGGGACTGTCACCTATGCATGCCATGTCTATTTCAGAGTTGACAGCATTAGAATTAATAAGATTAGTAAAAGCAAAGGTAATAGAAACAAAGTCTCCATCATTCAGAGTAGTCTACAAAGCCACATTTATTTGCACATGTACAGAACAAGCCAAAAGGTATGTTGTTATTTCCATACAAAATTATAAAACAATCATGACCTTGATACACCATACTGCTTTATTTGGAACTTTCACACCTCTCTATCAAATACATTCAAAAAGCATTCTTGCACACACACAAGACTGGTATTAGTCCCAGATAACACTGCAGTATAATTATACCTAGTTGCACACCAGGATCAAAAATTAATTTGTGGCTAATATAACAAAAAACTCCCAGTTGAGAAGTGAGCGGAGGTCTTCCCACCACTGGCCAGGAAAGTAAGGAACATCACTAAACAGATATACTGTCTCCAGAACATAGCTGTAAACATTACCCAAGCACCTGCAGAAGGCAGATAAGAGTAGCATTCCAGATTCTGACATAAGCTGTCAATATTAGCATTTTGAGGTAACTACTGCTCAACGCAGAGGTCACAAAAACAGGTTTGTAAAATGAGAAAAAAAGTCAAGCTAGAATGAGTTGGTGTAGAGAAGAAAGCAAAAGGAACTATACCAAATAATTCATACCCCTACAAATGGTAGAGGGGAAAAAAAAGGAGCAGGAAGAAAATTACAAAAGGCAGCATCTTTGTAAGCAGCTGCCAATATGTAGAGCTAAAGGGAAGTTAAGTGTCAACACGACATCTCAAACATTTTATTTAAAATGCACATTTATTTCTACAAAAAAAAAAATGTATGGTACAGAAGTAGAAGTGATCACACCAACTTAAAAGATTTACCTATTAAAATATACAGAGAATCTTAATGAGTACAGGGTATTTAAAAAATGCAAAGGGGGGTTAATTGTTTTATTTTTCTTACATTTTGGGAAGAGGGGACTTCACATAATTTTGATAAGTTACCCTTTACAAAATTATGTAAAAAGTACAAGAGTGTCTGGTAAACAGTCTGCATTTTTCCAAAAGATTTTTTACAGCATGCAATTGTTAAGGCAGCCTTCTCCTCCTCCTCATAAGGAATCCTT